GTATGCTTCTTAGCTCAAGTAGATACACGAGTCTAAATGGGCAGCTCCTGTCTGGAGGCGAGATGAGAAGGCAGAAAGGGACAGGAGCTGGCTGAATGCACACGGGAAATCCAGGGTGGAAAGGAGGAGTGTGCTGTCACACTGCAGGGAGTGCAGTTAGGGTCACATAGCAGTGTGTATATAAAGTTTTGTATGAGAAACTAACTTGAACTGTAACTTTCATTTAAAACACAATTGGAAAAAAAAAATAAACCCTAAAACACAGAGGCTCAGATGGGGCCTCCTGATTGACAAGAGCCAGAAGACGAGTGTGTCCTTTGGACACGGGGGCCCTGCACTATGACCCTCCCAGATCAGGTAAACCTGCAATGGTGACAAAGGCTGTGCCTACAACAGTACCAGAAGAGGCGGAGACAAGTGGACCTTAATGGTGGCAGCAAAGTGTAAAGTCTGAACCCCAGCTGAGAGGGCCAGGAAGCCATTGAGAGGAGTAGCCAACAGCAGAGCACACTCAGTAACATCACAGAAGAGCTCCTGGTTGAAAGTCTTCCTGGTTGGCAAGAGTGAACATCTGTTCCTAGTAGGGTACGCAGGTCTCCTTGAGAGTTTGAGGTTCCGGGAACCCCTCTCTTACCTTGCCTTATGCATTTCCCTGTTTATATCTTTCCTGCTATTAAAGTTGTTATTGCAGTTATGGTGTTTCCGTGAGTTCTCTGCGACCACTGCAATGAATTACTGAACCCAAAAGAGGAAGAGTGCCGTGGGGAGAACAGCTGGTATCAGAAATGGTGAAGTTGGAGAATGGAGGCATATTTGACCTCCACATCACAGGAACCAGCTTCGTGCTGATTCTTATCCTTGGGGTTGTCCTTTCAGTTATGAATTTACTTGGATCCTTGCCTGCCTCCACCACTAAACGGTATACTCTTTGAGGACAGTAAACTTAGGAAGCACTCAGTAATTATTTGTGGAGTAAATGAATGAATGAATGAAGGATCTCTTACTATCTCCTGTCAAACCACTTTTATAGTTACTGCATTATAAATGGGATGTTATCATAAAGTTCATTTGTAGGTTAGATATTTGGCACGGGTAAAATGTAATATAAATGGTGGTTAAGTTCCCAGGTAAACTCATGAAAACTTATTTTAATGAACACTGCAGCTTAACCATAGTATTGACAGCAGAAGACTAAGTTCTAGGGAAAGAAGGGCATTTCTGGGGTTCAGGCACGGTCCTGCTGGATTGCTGTCCAACTCACCAGCACCTCTTCCTTCCTCAAGTGCTCTTCAAAGATGATCAGCTGATTCCATGATTGACAAATGGAAGCTATCATGATTTTATGATATATTTTTGCTGATTCCATGTCTGTTTGAATTGCTCTAAAATGGCTTGTAAGCTTTTAGACAGCAGGGACTACAACTGTATTTTAACACATTATACAAATTCTTAGCGTAACATTACATAGCATAATTAGCCCCAACTCACTTAATATCCTTTTACCTAGCATTCTCTATACCCAAAATGTATCATAATAACTAGGATTATATTAATTTGCATTTATTTACATGTTGAAACATCCACATTCTAAAGTTTTTTTTTTTACTGTGAGCACATTCTGCCTCGGCCACCAGACATACTCACATTTCAAAGGATAAAGTAAAAAATGGAGGAAAGGACAGAGCACCAAGGACAACTGAAAAAGATTCATTAAGGTATAACAAAGGTAAGGAAGTGCAAAACTTAAGAGTGAACTAAGGTTCTTGGGGGGAAAAAAGCCAGTAACAATGAAAAAGGGATCATTTGGAGCAGGAAGAAATACACAATTTGACAGCTTGCTGCAGGTGTTCTATTATGAGACATGGAATGCAGACCCACTCAATGCCAAGTCTTTTGTCTTCTCTATTAAGAAGAAAACTCTCCAATTTAGAAACAGGAATGTGAATGAGTGTAAGAAGAAACTGAAGTCTAAGACACTTCAGGAAACCAAGGGGGGATGCCTAGCTACTCGATTAGTTTAATTCTCCAAACACAGCATTATATTGCAAAGCAGGACTTCCCAACCTTTTCTACTTCATGGCACACACAGAAAATACTAATATTTGTGTGGTATACTGGGTGTCTTAGTCATCTAGTGCTGCCATAACAGAAATACCACAAGTGGATGGTTTCAAC